AATATACTAAGTTCCTGTTTGGCCATAAAATTTGAAAAGAAAATCTTCATATCTCAAAAATAGCTTTAGAGTATTTTTTAAGTTTTCTACTCACAAAATTTCAAACTCCTTTCAAATAAATTACATGTTCAAAAACAACTTCAACTTTAAAAAATTATTTTTTATCTTATCTTTAAAAACTATGTCCAAACGTTAGCTAAGAGTAGAAATTGAAATATGTACAGACTTGTATTCACTATCTCGAGCTACTGCATTTAAGGAAGATCTTTGTAATCACTCTTCAAATATCCAAAAATGAATTGATTCACATTCTTTAAACAAAAATTTACGCACATAAGAATCCCATACTAACTTTGTAAATATCACAGAGAAATAAGTGGGGCATTTGCATCTATACTCGCTTTTTGTGCCACATTTTAACCTGTGCCCGCTTTGCAAAAAAATTTGCAAGCGTACCCGCTTTTTCGCATAACTTCAGCACACGGGGCTGAAGTAGCAAAGGCAATCACACAAAACTTCAGCAATTTAGTAGCCGGGCCTGAAGTTCAGCTCTAGAGCTGAAGTTTTTATTTTGTAACTCGCAAATTGTCTTTGTAACCGGAAAACTTCAGCTCTAAAGCTGAAGTTTCTATGTTGTAACTAGAAAACTTCAGCTCTAGAGCTGAAGTTTTTGAGTTGTAACTGAAAAACTTCAGCTATAGAGTTGAAGTTTTTGTCTAATTAACTTCAGCTCAGGACACCAAGAAGATACAGTTACATCTAATTAACTGTATTGTGATCATCTAATGCATCCGATTTTGCGTTCTGTTTTTATTGCAAAATAAATGCTTTGTTGTTATGTTATTTCGTTTTCGGAAACTTTTCTTTTTAACATTTGAATCTCTGATCGCTGATGATCAGTTTCTCCATTTTCTTTACGGTTTCCATGTTTTATCTATATTACAACATATTTGATTTTCGTGTTGCTGTTTTTTTGTTGGATAAAAATTGGTGCCTTTTTCTGATCAATGGTATGACCATATCATTCCTCAGTCCTCACGGAGTTGTGTTTCCAGACAATGAGAAAATGAAGAAGGAGAAGGGGAGGAGAAAGGGAAGCTGAAGTTTTTTAAAAAGTGGGTACGGGTGCAAACAGAAAGACAAAAAGCGGGTACAGGTTAAAAAGGGGCGCCGAAATAGGGCGCCCCGTGCAATTTTTACGAAATAAGTTATCGTAGTTAACAGAAAGCAAATAGGATCACTATAACCAGGGCGGCCCAATGGATCTCTTGGCCAAAGGCAAAATTATATGGGAAACTTACACAAATGTCCCAAATAAACCTCAACTTACCAACCTCTAGCCATTAATCATAGACTTACCAAAACTAGCCAATAAAAATTGAAAAACCAAATAATAGGGTTCTTTCCCTCAAAGAATCACATGCAAAAATCACCTTCCATATTTTTAAGCGTGATCAGCAACACTAGATAGACGGAAAGGAAATTTTATGGATGAGGTAGCAAATAAGGTGATGAACTACAAAAAATATATTCAATATTCCAAAAATCTAAACAGAAAAGGAACTTTTTCAATGGGTATAGTTGAAATTCATTGAAAATATATAGATAAGTCAATATACAAAATTTGAGAAAGATTGGAGGTGATTTGGACTAGTTTTGTATCAAAATTCGTAATTAAATCGAGTTCAAAAAAGTCCTATGCGACACATGTATCAAACATGTATCACGCATGTATCTCACACACATGTATACATGGATATACATGTGATACACAATAGACACAAATATGATACATTGTGATACACAGTGTGATACATATATCATTTTTTTCATGTTCAGTTTTTATCGAATTTTCAATTCAAACCACCTCAAAACTTCACCAAATCATCCCAAAACTGATATTCAAGCTCCTTAAGTTGTGCCCAATCTATTCTAATAACACTCACTCAAAACAAAGCAAAAATTTGATATTTTTTGCTACAAATAGCTAATTGGCTAATTTGGCTAATATTAGTAATATTTTATCAATTGGCCAATTTTTGTAATGAGCTACCTATAAATGGACATAGCTGGTAATTTTCCAAATTATATTGGGAGGCTCTAAAATATATTTTATAAAATATTTACACTAAGAACAAAATTTGCTTTTTAAATATATATTTATCATTTAAGACAAAAAAATGAATTTCAAAAAAAAAAAAAGGAAGAAGAGCACAAAAAATAAAGTGGTGGACTATCGGATGTTAAGGTCCAGAACTCAAAGTGAAAGTTCTGATTTGGCTATCATCATAAGCAAGAAAAAGAAATAAACGTACATAACATAATACCTTACGTTTTGAGCATTGGCGGTTGATGTTTGGTTATAATTTTATATTTTTAGTGTATTACTTACCTTATATTTTTTGGGCTTTAATGCTAAACTATACTATATTTGTGCTTAATTGAGTTATTTTATGTGTAGGTACGTTGAAAACGAAATTGGGAGCAAAGTAGAGATTTTATGTGTATTTTATACACTACAAGAATGATTCATGATCATTTATTGATTGAAAATATTATAATGATATTATGGAGCAATGATTGAAGAGACAAATATAAAAGAAGACAAAAGTCAATGGAAAAAGAAGAGAAAACGTGAATTTGTAAAGTTAGGCAGCAAATCAACAATGAGAAACGAAGCAAAAGAGTCTGGTGACGCGAGGGATTCTGCTCGCTCGCGTTAGAGCGCGCGACAGAACTCGCGACGTGGGGTCTACAGCGAGGTGTTGGCGTGTTCCGGGTTTTAAAGCCTATTTTGTCTTATTTTTGGTTTTGGACTTGATTATTTCGTCTAGGTCTTTTCTCTATACATATAAATAGTTATTAAACATCATTTTTTAAAGGGGGATTCGACCTAAGGAG